CGCGGTATCTCTTTACGGACCCATTTGCAAAGCTTTATTACACAGAAAGAAGAAAAGAAAGAAAGAAAGAAAGAAAGAAGAAAAAGAAAGAAAAAGAGAAAGAAGAGAAGGAAGGAAGGAAGGAAGGAAGGAAGGAAGGAAGGAAGGAAGGAAGGAAGGAAGGAAGAGCAGTCCTGCAGGAGTTGATTTTTTTTTTCTTTTAGCAAAAGCATGTCTGAAAAACTCATGGTTCTAGTCCATATGAGGGCATCCTTTGCATAATAGGAACAATTGGCGTGGTATCTCTTTATGGACCCGTTGCAAAGCTTTATTACAAAGAAAGAAAGAAAGAAAGAAAGAAAGAAAGAAAGAAAGAAAGAAAGAAGGAAGGAAGGAAGGAAGGAAGGAAGGAAGGAAGGAAGGAAGGAAGGAAGAAAGAAAGAAAGAGCAGTCCTGCAGGAGTTGATTTTTTTTTTCTTTTAGCAAAAGCATGTCTGAAAAACTCATGGTTCTAGTCCATATGAGGGCATCCTTTGCATAATAGGAACAATTGGCGTGGTATCTCTTTATGGACCCGTTGCAAAGCTTTATTACAAAGAAAGAAAGAAGGAAGGAAAGAAAGAAGGAAAGAAAGAAAGAGAGAGAAGAGAAGAGAAAGAAGAAAAAGAAAGAAAAAAAGAAAGAAAGAAAGAAAGAAAACAGCCCTCTAGAAGTTGAAATATTTTGTTTCTTTTAGCAAAAGCAACTGCCTGTTACTCTTAAAATATGTCCTAACTGGCAAAGCCATGCAAACATTAAAATCCATGCACTTCGGTTTTTAAATGCAACACAGACAGCTGATCTGAGGCTGAACCCGTCTTTTCGGAGTGGGGATTGCAGCAAGCTGAATCACCCAGGGAAAAACAGGGAAATAAAACAGGCAGAGAGTTTAAAACAGCTGATTTGTTTGAAGAGGGCAATGCAATCCCTGCGCGGCGCTGTTCGTGTTCGGGGTTGGGTAGGAAATGAACACACACAAATCGCTGAAGAGGAAACATCCACAAAAGAAGCAATTGTTGCGTGCGGAAAGAGACAGCCAGGGTTTTAAAACTGCGACTCGCCCCGCTGAGTCAAAACACCGCCCCTAATTAGGATGACAAGGGTGTTCCCTTAGCGATGCACACAAAACACACATCCACAAGTAACCTTGTGTTTGTCTTGCCAGCACACAAAGACCTTGAAGACTTCAATTGTCATTGTATTATTGATTGAGGCCTGGTGGATTTGCACCGACGGATCGCAAATCTGTTCGGTTGGATCAGGCTAAAACTTTAGGCCAGTATCTGTCCACCTTGCCAAGTTTAAGATGGATGGACTTCAACTCCCAGCAAAGCTGGCAGGGGAATTCTGGGAGTTGAAGCCCACCCATCTTAAACTTGCCAAGGGGGAGAAATACTGTGTTCGTAGGGATAACACCCACCCCATATTGCCCCATGGAGAGGACACTGCTTTCGAAAAGAGAGACGAGGTGCTGAAAATCAAGTTTAATCCACTTTGTTGAATCCATGCCATTGGAAAAATCAGAATATCCAGAGAGCCGATTCCGACGGATGTGGTCTGAAACATTGCTTTGAAGTTCTGAACAGGAGGGCTGGATTGGAAATGTCCAGCTGGATTCCGACAAATCAAATTTTCAAGACCTTTTCCCAAATCATCCGAATGGCTCTGTTCCATTCAAGCCACTGAATCAGCTTGCGGGACTATCCCTGCACGGATTTGTCCCATCGCACGGATGCAACGTGGAGTTGCATAACCCCAGGAGATAACTCTTAATGAGATCTTCCATGGGTCCCTCACAAATCACGGTCCTTCCTTAGATGTGGAGAGATCTAGCCAGAGATTGGGGGTTTTTTTAGCGGCCTCAAATCACACGCTGAGAAATTCCAAATAAATGACCGGATGAAGTAAATCCAGCTTATTCTGGAAATTATAGCTATCTCCAGCCAGGCTGCAGATTTGAATTATAGAAATTGCCAGAAGATCATGCATGGATACAGGTTGGATGTCCTGAAAAATTGGGTGGCTTTGGAGACCCAGAATTGCAAAATCTGATCTGCTGGAGAAAGATTTCCCTCCCAAATGCTACACCCTGCCAAAACTAGGAATCAACACAAAAATTGTGTTGATTTTGTTCTCTGCCTGTATACCCATCCTACTAAATAAAAAAAAAACAAACAATAACTAAAAAGTTGTAAACTCGCAAAGCTAAGGCAACAGATTTACCCACCCCGGATTGGATGTTAAAACGCCAAAAGTCAACCCTTTTGTTTCATGCAAATATTTCAAGTTCATGTTGCTTTATTTCATGCAAAGGTCCAACACGTTCCTAGCCCTCACTGAGGCGTTTGTGAAAACTTTTAAAACACTGGCAGTGGTCATGAGATTTCCCCCCTCCCTCCATTTATTATAGGCTTTTACTGATAAAGCAGTCGGGTAGATGCTTTACTTTTTTTAAAAGTATGTCGTTACGAAGGTTACAATTTGTTGTCGCATCAGCTGGCAAGCTTATTACTTTCCGGGGCTGATCTTCACACACAAAAATCAAGCGAGTTTCCTGATTGTGAGTAAACATAAACCTATCCTTCCGGGATCCCATCGTAAGATCGAGACGTGGGATTTGCAACGAAACGGAGCAAAAATGAGTTTGCCAAACGCCACCATTTCCTGTCCGGGTGATAGAAAATGGCGGCCATTTGCTTGTAATTGTGTTCATGGGGGAGGGGTGGGTGAGATCCGAGTGGCCTCCCTTCTCCCCCATTTTGTAGTTAGCAGTGAACAATAAGGGTTTACGGTGGAGGTTGTTGCTTTCAAAAACCCTGTTGGTGCGACTCTCCCCATCGCTGGACGCTTTGGAGACTGGAATTTGTGATGTCCCCCCCCCAAAGTCCTTTCTCCTCTCTACGACAAGGAAGACGCAGAAGGGTGTGACACCCTTGTACACTGACACAGTGTGGTTCAATGAGGAAGACCCTCCATCCCGACCCCTTTAAAACACCCGTGTCCACCACCATCCCCACCTCCCAGGATTGGGAAGCTTTGACGACACCCAACTACACTGTCACAATTATTATTATTATTTTTTGCCATGGGTTTGGGTAGGGACTTCAATTGGGTAGCTGGCGCCCCTCGTTTACACAGACCACAAAAACAACATTCTTCTCTTCGGACAGAGAGAGAGCGCAACGAAACGAGACTGAAGGATAAAATCAGTTCACAAGGACTTTCCCTTCGGCATAGACCCTTCCCCACTTCTTCCCCCCCCCGGGGAGCTGGCACCAACACAAAGTAAGCGGATCCAAGTGCAGACCCCCACCCCCAAATTCGTCCAAATCACGAGAACCCAAAGTAAGAGATACCGATTCTTCAACATCACTCGAGCGATTGGTACTCGTTGTCCAAATCAAGCAATTATCAAGGACCGATTGTTCCGAATCGTAAAAATTCAAGCTGCTGGTACCAATTTGTCTGAACGAAAAGGATCCAAATCAATTACCCCTTTGTCCAAAACTTGGATCCGAATAACTGGTGCTCAAAATCAAGAGGACTGGAGTAATTTTGGTACTCGTTTGTCCATATCAAGGAGGATCTGAGTTACCTTGACCTCCCCCCCTTTTTTTTCTGAATTAAGGAAATTCAGGTAACTAGTGCCAATTTGTCTGAGGACCCAAATCCCTGGTATTCATTCATCCAGATCACTGGCCCCGAGGAACTGACGCCAATTATTCAGAATTTAAATAACTAGTAGCAATTTATCCAAACCAAGAATCCAAATGATTAAGATTAATTTTTTTGAATGAAGAGGATTCAGGTAACTAGTACCAGGTTGTTTGAAGAAGATTTAAGGAATGGGCACCAGATCAAGACGACTTCAAAAACAAGAGACCCTTCCTTCTTTTTCAGGAGGACCCCAGAAACAAAAGATTCTTCAAACACCAGCGGCATCAATTGAGTCCCACGGAACTCCTTGACCTTCTCAAATGTATCTTACTTAGTTCCTCAGTTCAATAATCTGGACCTTTTGGTCCTTCACCCCCTCCAAGATCCGATTTGCAGGAGAAATTAAAAATATTTCTCACTGGGAGGAAGGACCTAAAAAGCACCCGTGGGGGGTCTATACTCCAGAGCAGTGTATGCTAACCTCCCAATTTATTGATTTGGGGTTTTTTTGGGGGTGTGTGTGTTTGTTTTGCACAAGCTGATTTTATCCTGGAGGCCGTAGCCCACAACGAGGACCCTCGTAAAGAACGCAGACCCATCCAATCCCTCAAACGCCCCCCTAACCCTACCATCAAGACATGCCCACAACAGAAGGGGACAGGAACCAGAGACCTCGGAAAAGCAAAAAGGAAGAAAAAAGAAAAAAAAAGGGAGGGGGGGAAGAAGAGGGGAGGGGAGAGACCCCCCCTCAAACCAACAGCCCTGAAAACAAGCCAGAAGGAAGGAAGGAAGGAAGGAGAACGGGAAGGAAGATAGCATCACCACTCACTCTTCAGCTCTGTGTGTTTAGTGTGAGCTTGGCAGCCGCAGGGATGTAGATACAAGCAAGCAGGAAAAGCTGGGGGGGGGCTTTTGTTGGTTTCCAAGGATTCCCAATGTTCAGATGGGGTGGGGGGACTTCCCCCCCCTCCCACGTGGTTGCAATGTTTTATACAAGTTCAAGAAGCGTCATGAGCCAGCTGATCTTTTTTATGCCCCTCCCTCCTCCTTTCTCTCTCTTTCTCCTTCTTTCTCTCTCTTTCTCCTTCTCCCGTCTACCGTTAATCTCGGCCCTTCCTTTCTCCGGTCTCTCCGTCCAATTCTTTCCTGGGCACGAGAGAAATGCCATAGACATATTGGGTGGGTGGGTTCCGTTGTCCTCCAAGGGTTGAGGTCGGGGTCCAATTGGCCACTACTTCTTCCTTTTTTTTCCTTCCTCTTCCTCCTCCTCCTCCTCCTCTTTCTCCCCCCTTGCTGCCCTGCCACCATGCCCCACCCTTCCCCTCTTAGATAAAATATTCCTTCTTGTCATCCCCGCCTGGTTGACCTCCCTCTGCGTTGATAATGGCTGTGTCGGCATCCGGGGCGTCGTCTGAGCCTTTGGCCTCGTGGGTCAGGTAGGTACCTGTGAGGGAGGGAGGGAGGGAGGAAGGAAGGAGAGAGAAAGGGAGGCAGGGTGAGAAGGAAGGAAGGATGGTGATTGAGAAGGAAGGAAGGAAGGAAGGAAAATGAAGGGGAGGGAGGGAGAGCGGGAGGAAGGAAGATGATAGAGAAGGAAGGAAGG